TAGCACTCAGAGCTCACAGCTCCTCATATATGTTCAGAAACTAGACAAAAGTTAAACAAGTACAAACCACAGACTGCCTGTGTCATGGTGAATACAGTCGCTGCTTTATTTATGTCTGTATAGGCCGTTGTTGTGAGTGTGGACGGTCGGAGCATATACTGCGTTAGCTTAGCCAATCTCCATTTAGAACACACGCATTTTAAAAGGTTTTTCGCCTGCCGTCTGTCTGCAGACTTGACAAAGCATTAATTCATGGTTTTTACTAACCGGTATCAGTATGTTGTTACTTCGGCATCATTTTGAAACGTGTATTACAATTAAATCACGGTCAAATATGTCCATCTTGTTGTAGTTGTAGCCCCCTTGCCAGCGATGCTCTCTCTAGTTTAGCATACTCAGCCCGACTCAGCCTCGTTGTCTCTGGCCCTAGACCCACGATTTTATGAGGCCAGAAAAACTGTGAATTAGGACCCGCCGGCCGGTACTAGGCCAAGTGGAAACGCAACCAAAGACGGGCCGCTGACGTCACAGCCCTCTTAAACCGTGCTCCGCGCTGTAGTGGAAACGCGCCATTAGAGGGCTACGCCAATACTCATAGAAGCTGGAGTTACAGTAGGTAACTTCAGTTTCATTCCATGTCAAAGTGCTGTTTGGCGCGGTGTAAACTTTGCGCACTGCCACTCCAACATCCAATCACAGAGCTTGAGAACTAATCACGGGGTTTGTCAAACAAAGCACATGGTGTAGTCCTAAACAATAGCTGAGGATTCTGGGTAGTGTAGTGTCTTCTGCCATCCTAAACTCCGAAAAAATATTTGTTTCTCCGTATCGAAGGGGAAAAATACAAAAGCATTGCACACAATTTAAACCAATCAATGTTGTGTAATTAACAAGGATAATCTGGTGTTTTTGAGTTGATGAGTAGTGCAGATATCACTGTAAAATCAATCGACAGTAAGGAGAATACTTACTTCCGGGTGTACAATTCTCCGTTATCCAATGGGAATGGACGCTCACATTGCCTTTAAGGGCCGCCGACATGGACCGATGCGGTGCTTCCATGAGCGTCAAATACCGCCGCCGATGGGAATTGTGATGCCCCTGTGGGTTCATCAGTAGAGAGGGTGTGGCTGTTCTGTCTGTGCTACATTGGCTGCAGTGATTGCATTGATTGCAGTAACTCAGGGCACCTGGGTCTGGTGTCCTGCAGCTATTTAAAGCCTCTCTGCTCCTCTCTGTGCTCGCTCTGCTTTCCCCTGCAGACACCTGGGTTTTGGTTGAGTATGGTACCGGTTTTCTCAGTTGCTCCACTTTGTTGCACTCTATGAATTTTGCTAATTTGAATTACTTTCTTTAATAAACATATTTTTCTACCCGTTGACATGTTGTGTCTCCACTTTGTTGTGGCCTTTTGAGCCAGGTCGCAACAAATGGGGGCTCGTCCTACGGGTTATTTCTAGAAAGTTTGTGTAGTGCTCAGAGCACATGGTATCATTGAGCAGCTGAGTACTTGATGTGGTCCAGCTGTGTGGTGGCTTGGCGCTGCTATTTGGGGGACACATCATGTTTTTTGGGTTTCAGGAAGCTTTAGTATTTGACATGTCGTCAGGTTTTGTGTGCCAATCAGAAGGTAAGATGTTGCTGTTTGTTACTCTTTTGTAAAGAGATTTCCCCGCTAGGCTTAAGTGGCGTTTCCCCTTGGGTTGCGTCTGTTTGTTTTTTTCATAGTGTTGTGGCGACGTGGTTAGTGTCAGCTGTTTTCGGACAGCTGTCTCAGGGGCACATCCGCGTGATTTCTTGGTGTTACCTGCGTGCAGGTCGCTCCATAACTCCGCCGGGTTTCAGTGCGTGATTACCCGCCGCAAGCCACATGAAGACTAGGTGAGATTAGTAAGATTTTGGTTAGGCAGTTAGGGGGAAAATTCTCTGTTGGGTTTTGTCTTTTGCCTATGCGTGTTGGCAGTTTAATACTTTGCTTTCTGATTGGGTATAGGTCATATATTATGGTTTCTTTGTCGGCGTTTGTGGATGCGCCCTGAGTGTCTTTCTTAGATGATTGCCATAAGGCGCAGTTGGTCGAAATAGCAGAGCATTATAAGATTGCTGTTGTAGGGAGCAAGCGGAAACATGAGATTAAAGCTGTCAGTTGAAAGCTCTTTGCGTCCGTTTATGAAGCTGAAGGAGCCTCGGCGCGTCCCAACTGCACGCCACGGGACCCTGACCAAGCGTCGCTCCTGGACGTTTAGGGAGTGAGAGTGTGTTGCAACATCACTGCTGGTTTAAGTCCGTCATGACAGGGAGTGTGGCTTCATGATTATAAGCTGATTGTCCAGGAAAAAAAAAAAAACGCCATTCAGACTGAGAGCAGGACATGGCTGAGCTGCACTTTGTGCTGAAATATAACGATAAACAGTCAAATACGTTATATATATCCCTGATATATTCAGGCAAATTCAGAAGTTTCTAAGTAACAGAGTAGAATATGCAGCACTTGTGGATTCCAAACCAGGAGAAAAACTCCAAGATATCTCAGGCACATTTCGGCCAAAAAGCAAAGAAGTTAAGAAATAGTAAACATTCAGCTGAGTTACGGTCATCATGCTGTACGCACAAACAGCCTCCGTGGACTTCAGTCAGATCAGTCGCATTTTACAAAAGCACTTTGCTTTGTTGAGATCACCAGTGTGTACAGCTGTTTTTGTCATTATCCTGCTTTGGTTCACACATTCATTTTTTTATACCAAATAATTTTATGCTAAATATCATTGGAATCATACCCCTTACTCATTTTTTCTGAAAAATGATTTGAAGTGAGCACTAGTTCTCCGGTGATTTCATGTTCAAGGACACATTTTATGTTGAGAAACATTCTTTATTGAGCTTCTTCTGCCTGCCATATGCTCCCAACATTTCATTTTTATCTACATCTGAAAGTTAGTATTGCAAATTACGATTGTGTTGTCAAAACCAACTTTAAAATTGCATTCCACTACCGACTGTATCTGAGTGTTGCATGCAGCGCTTGTTAAGTCAATAAAAGCAATTTGGCTTTGTATTATGGTCCAAGAGTTTATCAACTATAACTTTATTATCCGAATATAACATAATAATATACATTTTCCATCATCGGCCGGAGCATTGTCTTTACAGGATAATCCCATTTTATAAACACTAAAGCTGAACATTGTATCATCTAATGTACAGTATGACTAAATTACCTCCATCTGCTCCTGGTGTGACTGGTTATGATTAAATAATAAGTAAAGTTATGATTCTGTCAATAAACCTTCAAGATGTGCGCTTTTATTTAAGTGTTGGTTAGGCAGCTGAAGGCCCATCAACACAAGAACACATAGTTCAGGTGCTAATTTGCCAGAAACACTGTAAATATTTCTTGGAAAGTTGTGTTTTCTGTTTTGAAAATGTGTTTTGTTGTGACACCACCATACTGTAAGTGAGTATTTCTGTCCAAGTATCAGCATACTTTGCAGTGTTGCTAAAGTATATTAAGTAAGGCATAATGTGCAGTGAGGCGGTCATTAATGATAAAAGAACACAGACAGGGTGATCAAGATCCCTATCACATTATCCCACGTATTACATTGCAACATACTAACTATACAAAGGGCTTGACTCACAATGTTGATTTAAAAATGACCGTATTGCTAAAAAATATATATATTCCGCTCCACTGCGTACCAAAGGCAGGAACTGCGGCGACAGCAAGTCTGTTAACATCTTATTTTTCATTAACCAGTCACGCTGCTAGAGTATATCACATTTTATATTATATTGATAATTTGGACTCTTCAATTTCTGATTTGGTAAATATAATTATTATTTTGGGTAAATACCGTTTACATTGTAGTAAATGGAGAGGAGGCAAGCCCTCCTTTCCCTGTTTCATAAATGAGTTCATGTCCTTTTTTCTGTCCCTTAGAAAAATACAATCTTGTAACCTGTCTATAAAGATTTACAATGACATTTCCAAATGGTTATTAAGTAAGCTTAATGCCTCTTAAATGTTTTTGTGACTTTATGCTTTTTCTTTCCCCCTGGCTCTTATTGGATGTATTATTTATGTTTTTCGTCTTATTGTGAATTAATAGGCGCTTTCACACCGGAGTACTTTTCCCGTACTTTTCCCAGAAATAGTTCCTGGGATGTTGAGTTCACACCAAAAATATCTTTTTTTTCGGGAACCTTTTCTCCCCTTTTCAGTCCCTGCTAGAGAGGTGGTACTTTCCTGGGGAGAAAAAGGTTCCCATTTCTGATTGGCTGGGCGAATTGCAAACCTAGCCCCGTAAAACTCTGAAAATGTTGTGAAGCCACCATTGTATTTGCTGGCATTAGCATGATTAGCATTAGCATTAGCCCCGCGCACCGACGGAGAAAGACTAACTTATGGCAGCACAAAAAAAAACATGGGAGCGGTGGAGTGATGAGGAGGGTTCGGCGTTCTGGCGATTTACTCGAAAAAGAAAACCGTGCTAGAGCCCATACTGTGTTCCCTTTAGTGTTTACGTCCTGTCTATCTTCTTCTGTTGATTTCTCTGATGTCTTTTAAAATCTTTCCTTCTCATGCGCTCTTTTTCTTTTTCTTTACTAGAGGCAGTTCAGCCATCATGAATCCAAAGTTTTGTGCTGTACATAAATATAAAAATGATGCATGGTGTATCTGATGGAGAAAAAAGATTGTTGTGCACATCTGGCGTTAAATTGACCGGACTTCTTTCTGTGGATTGATATGACTGCACATAGTCCCCTGATCCTCTTGTAGCTACGGTCTATTCTCACAGCGGTCTCTTAGCAAAACATTAACAACCTCTGGTTGACCAATGAAAATGTAGTATTCAACTAAGCTGTGTGTTAATACAAGTTTATACTTACTAATATAGAAATCAATTTGTAGTGGAAAGACTGTACGCAATTTGTAGAAGATATAAAACTAATATCTATGTCGATTGTTTAAGAACAATTAACATTTATTCAGCCTACTGTAGACCATTTCACTTGTATTTTTAATCAAAGTGTTGATAGACATTAGTGCATCAAGAGTTCCACGCATAAAAAGAAAAAGTTACTCTTAAAGAACAATTTGCTTCAACATTGTGTAAATATGTTCAATCAAAATGAAAGAACAAAAACAAAAACAGCTGATTTAAAAGAAAAATAATTTACAAATATGAAGTTTTTTTGGGTGTTTATCTTCTCTGGTGGAGATATTTCAAATGCTTCCAACTGTGCTTCTGGGTTAGGTTCCCTCCACTGGACATCTTTGCTGGAAAAGCACAGACAAAAGGTATTAATTCAATAATGTAAAACTGATCAAATGTAGTTAAAATAATGAGCTGTCTGAGAATAGCACTTACATTATAATGATGAATTCTCGAACAACCTAGAAATAATCCAATAACAACAGAGCAGCAGTGAATATTTCAGAACGTCATTTCTTTCACACAAACTGCTCTAATTGAATTCTCATCACTAAAATTTGCATGTCTACCCTAGTGTTAAAAAAGTCCAAGAAAATTTGTAAAAGCTGTATTTTTACTAGTTATTAAGGTCGGGCTACAGCTACATACACATTATTTGCCAACTTTAAGACCCAAAAAAAAAAAGTGAAGTGTAACAGTATTGACATTACAATACATATTCTTAAGTTTGAATTCTTGTTCTGTGTGAAAATGACTCCATATACTTACAGTTGGTATAGGCAATTCTTCCATTAATGCATTGAACACGGCGGCTGAAATCATCCCAAGTACACGGAATATACTTCTCCTGTCCTTCCTTTACGTATTCAACTGCAGATATTATAACATTGGCGATAGTCGTTTGAGCAGGATCTATGACACAGAAAGCCGCTGCACAGAAAGGAAAACGTATGTACAATTACTCGGGTAATATATTTGGGTGATATCTTTTTAGGAACAAAAACTTGTCGTTATGACTCGTTTATACCTTTGCAGGATGGTGGTTCTGTCCACTTGCCATTGCTTTGACACGTCACAATGTCTGGACCCTCTAGTGTGTAAAAGCCATTACATTGGTATTTCAAAAATGTTCCGCTCACTTGCACAACATCTCCGTTTGGAACACTGGGGTAGTCTCCACAGTTGGCGTCTAAAATCAAAAAGAGGCTATTTAATATTTCCATTTAACTTTAAAAACAGGCCGGTCAAAGTTAACGTGTTAACGCTTGAGATTTATCTGGAAACCTAAACGTTTTCAAATTATCTACGCAGACTATTCACATACCAATTGACAACTTCCTCCTATGATTACAGCTCATATGTTTACCATGAACTGTATGGCAGTAAAAAGGCAAAGAAAGCAGAGGAACTGGCACAAGCTGCATGTATTTCACTGACTGGAGACCACTGAACATCAGGAAGCAGTAACAGCACCATTTAATAAAAGAAGGAAGGAAAGGCATTTTGCTTTGTAATGTAGGAGCCCGTTTCTTGAAGTTTCTCAGGAGTGGAAGACAAGGTTTTTACTGTAGAAATAGTTACTGCTTGCATTATGATAGCGGCAGAAAACAGGAGCATCTGTGTAGCGCACATTATACAGAGCGTGATCACAAAGGCTTGACAGCGTCTTTTGATGCTTTAGCTAAGTGTCAGAAAGTTGACGGACTTCATGCCAATCATTTTGAAATCATCAAAACTGAGCTGAGATGTTTAACAATAAAATAACAAACCTATGATTTGTCTTACCAGTTTGTCATGCATTTCTTTATTACAACATAGCATGTGTATTTCTTTAATCTCCCAAAGATACACTAAGCAAGGTTAATAATAGTATTTTAAACTTGTGATTAATCATGATTAATGATTTTCATCTATTGGTGGGGCTCTTCTCTAGAACTTTCTTTCAAATCAATAACATTTTGAAAGACCTTGTTGACCTTATCTTCACACAGTTCTGCAACTGGTTCTTCAGGTTTCTTTTGCAGATGGTGACTGCTTAATCCACTCCCCCAAGAACTTAACGTTACATGTTTTCCATGTTGTACTTCTTTCTTTACAGTCTGGTTCAGGTTAGCAGAAGTAATCACCATACTTGTCATTAATGAACCATAAAATCAAACAAGTTGGTTGGTCGTAAAGAATATTCTCAGACAGGCAGACTAAAGATGATCTATAACACAAATTGATGCATTATTTTCTATACAAAATGGGTAGTGGGTGCTGTCTAAAGCCCTATTTAGATTTATTTGAGATAACATCAGATATAAACAACAAATATATTTAGCAACAGGAACATTTGTTAACAATGATGTTTGTGAACGCAAGTTGATGTTAGCTCGAAATGTAAAAACTAACGTCAGCCATACAGTGTAATGTTGTTAACACTCTCTGTAGTCAGATCTAGAGTGTCATTTTCCCCACGGGGATTAATAAAGGTCCATCTTATCTTATCTTAATGTATAAGTTGATTTACTTCGATCTACTGTACTGTGTAAAAACACCACAATAATATTACAAAAAATATACTGCATATTAAAGCAAACTATTGTAAAGGTAAAGTATGAGCATACAAAATAAAGAAGTGTAAACATTTACATTATTATTATGATTATTTAATATATAAAGACTAAATATTATTGAATTACAATTAAGATAATAAGATTAGATATACTTTATTTGAAAACCATAACAAATAAGTGATTAAATGCTCTTCAGCAAACACAACTGCAGAGCTGCAAACATTGTAAACAGACTAAGTTCTACTGTACTGTATTTGAGAATGAAGCGCCATCTCATGGTTAAATCCTGTAATTGAGCAAATGGGGGAAATTTGGCAACGCCCTCTAGCAATTTGGCAACGCCCCCAGCCACTGGGATCCGCTGGGTTTTTGGTTGGAATCCGCTGGGTGGAGTCCTATCTGGAGTGCTACATCTGTTAAGTGTAATGTTGTTAACACTCTCTGTAGTCAGATCTAGTAGAGTGTAATTGTTTCTCTTAATTAGCTGTTGTTTGCTCGCATTCACTTTTCCAATTGGAGTTAACTGACTGACCGCTTTTGAGTGTCATGAGAGCCAATGGCAAAATCAGAATGCTTAATTTGAGCTACCCATTTTTTTAAACTACCTTCTTCTAGCTGAAGTCATCCCACTGCCGTCTAATGTAAGAAATCGGCCTTCAGATAAGTTTATGGAGAGATCAGATCAATGCATTTACCCACTCATATTTAATACTGATCAATAAACTACTGCCAATAGATGTAATGTGTCCTCCACCATGTCCAGTACTGCTGCCTGGGTGGGAATAAGACAACACATTAAATATAATCCTACAAATGTATCTATGGAGAGATTGGAACAAAGGATTTTAATCATTCATACTTTATAAAGGTAAATAAACTACCTCCACCTGCAGGTTGCCCACTGCCAGCAGATGTAGTGTGTCCTCCACCTGTTCCTCCCACTGTGGATCCGCCATGTCCAGTATCAGGTCTTCTGTCTGAGTGGACATATCAAATACATTTCAAGGCCTATATATATGGAGTGGTTAGATAATTGGATTAACTCATATTTCATAGTCGTATTGATTATGAATCAGTAAACTACCTCCACCTGCAGGTTGTATCCCACTGCCAGCAGATGTAGTGTGTCCTCCACCTGTTCCTCCCACTGTGGATCCACCATGTCCAGTATCAGGTCTTCTGTCTGAGTGGACATATAAAATACATTTTAAGGCCTATACATATGGAGTGGTTAGATAATTGGATTAACTCATATTTCATAGTTGTATTGATTATGAATCAGTAAACTACCTCCACCTGCAGGTTGTATCCCACTGCCAGCAGATGTAGTGTGTCCTCCACCTGATCCCACCTCTGCAGCACAAATTATTACATTTAAAGGACGAGAGAACCAAGTCCTTTTAAGCAGTTTTAAATACACACAGAGCTTTATCTTTTACTAGTTTATTTTTTTATTTATATTTGGTAAGATGTCTCCCTGTTTGTAGAACTTGTTGGGGAAATGAACTTTGCCCCATAATCTGTTCATCCAATGGTAGTAGTAAAAAGGTTTTCCACTGATTTTTGGGGACTGTATTTCTGATAAAAGGTAAATAACTTCAGTTGAATGGACACTACACATACTTATCATTAAAGTGTATTCTTCACCAACGTAATTCATGGAACATTATGTGGTCAATTTCTCTGAGAAAAAGATAAGTAGATTCCTCATTCCTAGTTTAAGTGTGAATTTTGACGCTAGCAGACTTTATAAAGTTTAGCTAGCTAGCATGACCTAATGCTAAAAGCCAAGGTGGTTTGAAAACTCTAAATAGCCTTTAAAAAGGTCTTAAATATTGACCTAATGGATAATGATATAACGCTTAAAGATGGAGGCTACAGCTGCATGTTCCTAACAAAAAAACAGAAGCCGTTTCCTCCTCACTCCTAGCTAAAGACTATGTGAATAAAGACAGATTTTATCAGCTGTACAGCTAGCTAGCTAGCTAGCTAGGGCTACTGCTGGGATTCAAAGTTGTTTAAAAACATAACAGTCTTTTAAAATATCTTTTAAAAAGGTACTTAAGAAATACAAACATGATATAATACTAAAAAACGAGTTCAAAGGCAAATGTTCAGGGGTGTAGTGCTATCTTTACAAGTACTGGAGCGCACCCATGACTCGCTCATGCATGCACATGCACAGTTGTGGCATGACCACCAAAAGCGAAAGATATGGACACAAGAAGTGCGCAATTGTATCTAGTATCCTATCCATCTGAACATGATTTAAGTGGGGGAACATCCTCTAGGGGGGTCAACACCCATATGAAACAGAACTGTAAACAGATTTTATTTTTTCTTCATAGATATTTTACAAATCATTCCCCTTTTAAACTGTACTCTTGTTTTATCGTCATATAGTATTTCATACCTGTTTTTCATTTATTCTCTTATTTTTGTATAACTATAATGATCATATAAAGGTGTGCCTTTACATCACTGAGCTGAGCCGGCGTTCCGGTGCGCTCCGGCAGCACTACACCCAGTTCCTACAGCCTGTATCCAACCCAACCTGGTCTCACCAGAATGCGTGACTCCACCACGACTCCTTAACACCGCATTGCGTTGTGGAGTCACGAACTTTGCTACATTTACGTGTCTGCACCACGCAAACAACCCCAATGTAAAGTGAATGAGGCTCCTTTGTCGTGGTGCACACACGCATTTCTACAACGTCGATTGTTCCCTTTAGTTAACGTTATTTAAAAGATAATTATATTCCTATTTGATCAAGTCCCCTTTATTATATTACGGACCCAAAGAGCTGAGCGTCCATTCCCATTGGATAACGGAGGATTTTACACCCGGAAGTAAGTATTCTCCTTACTGTCGATTGATTTTATTTACAGTAATATCTGCACTACTCATCAACTCAAAAACACCCGATTATCCTTGTTAATTACACAACATTGATTGGTTTAAATTGTGTATAATGCTTTTGTAATTTTCCCCTTCGATTCGGAGAAACAAATATTTGTTCAGAGTTTAGGATGGCCGAAGACACTACACTACCCAGAATCCTCAGCTATTGTTCCGCTTTGCCTCAAGCTCTGTGATTGGTTGACCTCCAACTGCTTTCCATATGAAAAAAACGTTTCGTAAAAGATCAAATCATACTTTATTCAGCAGTGCTTGCTTTACTCTTTGAAAGTCATCACATGAATGCATTGTAATGAATGGTTTGGCTGTATTAAACATTACACATCTGTCGTAGTTCTTTATTTATCTACAGAGATCGGGCCTCAGAATAGACCGGAAACTATTCTTTTACCGTTCTGTTTTAATTTCACAATAAAGTTAGTAGTAATAATTTGTTTTGATATTATTGTTTTTTATTAACTACTAGACCGCTGGGTCATGTTAAGACCATCTTTTCTGTGTTGCTGTGGGTTTTTAACATCTTTTTTGTGTTACAAATATCAAAACAATAACAGAATATATCCGTCGTAAACTAAACCAGAAACAGCAGTATATTTTATTTTGTTAACACTGTAAACTTGACAGCTTTTTAACCCGCACCTCCTACTGGTTAAAGCACGTTATTACACGTTTAGAGTAATTGCAATGCAGGTAGATTGTGTTGCTTTTTAATGACTGTTTTAAAATGCCTTTTTCTTAATGTCTTTCATTTTTGTAAAGCACTTTTGAATGTGTTATATTTGATGAAAACATTTAAATATTAAGAGTACATACTCTTAATATAGTGGGAAAGTGGAAGGTCAATGATATAAATAATATAGAATAGAAAATATCAAGAAGATACTGTAAGTGATCTCTACAATAAAACAGTTTAGTGCCTGATACTGTAGGAGGATGTGGAAAAACAGACAAACTAATAAGGCTTTATTTAAACATTAAAGAATACTTTAGGTTAAGGTCTTCTTTTAAATTAGAAAAAAGCTTTGGGGGTATCTACAGATATTAAGCCTGACAAAGTACTTAACGTCTAATATATTGCATGGTTTGTTTTGGAACTTGACAATCAACTTTCCTGCAATGTTAACTATGTTGAAGCACTTATTTTAACTGATATTATACATATTAATTATACTCTTATAAGATGTATGTAGATAGTATGAGAAATGTGCAGAATATGTTTAATGGTGGAGGTACACAGATATCGATAGATGTCTTGTAATGCACTGTTGATGAACCTGTGACCCAAGTTTTTCATTAATTGCATAACCGTAGTTGTGTATATGATATGTCAATAAACCTTAGAAAATCTTGAAATCTCGAAAGGGATGTGCAAAATAGCCATTAGAGATGGGCGAGTCCTGATTCATCCGGATCATTAACCCGGATCCTAGAAATGAGCTGGTCGTGACGAGTCTCCCCTCTCCATTAACCCGAGTCCTTGAGTCCCACACTTGGTGTGACGTACAAATTAAAACTATAAATTGCGTCACTCGCTACTCTCTTTATAACATGTAGAATCACATTACAACGTACCCCAGTCCATCTACCTACCCTTTAGCAAGTATACAGGATAGCTGCCTGCCAGTAGTTATCGTTTGGCTCAGGGCAGGGGACGCGGATCAGTGAAACTTCCTGCAGACTCGTGGGGACTCAGAGGAGCCGACGGCTCCTAACCGTAATAGCATAGCAGATCCAGCGATCCATACTCGTCATGTGCACGAGCATAGCCCCTCCTCCAGCACCCGGCTCCTGCGCCGGAGTCAACAGCAGACTCGCAGATTCGCAGATTCGCAGATTCGCAAATCCTGACTCGCTGCAACACACAGCGGATCAGACTCGTGCGGACTCGGAGCCGTAACCATATAGCAGCAGATCCAGAGATCTAGCAGACTCGTCGTCATGCACGAGTCAACAGCAGACTCAGATTCGCAAATCCTGACTCGCTGCAACACACAGCGGATCAGACTCGTGCGGACTCGGAGCCGTAACCATATAGCAGCAGATCCAGAGATCCAGCAGACTCGTCGTCATGCACGAGTCAACAGCAGACTCAGATTTGCCAAATCGCAAAATAACCCTTTTTTTTGTGATCAACATTTTTTATTAAAGCAAAATACACTGTGTAGCGGAGGTTAATATAACGTCAGTTTAATAGATAGATAGATAGATAGATAGATAGTACTTTATTGATCCCAAATTGGGAAATTGTTGTTACAGCAGCATAAAAGGCATTTTACAATAAAACAAAACTACAAAATATACAAGAATAGAAAGAAAAATAAATAAAATATAAAATATACATGTCGAAATAGAAAATATACATGCAGATATTATATATATATATATACAAATATATATATATATATATTCAAAATATATGGAATAATAATATGCTCGTGAAATGCATCAACTTTTCGGTTTCACCGATAGGATTTCTACGGTCTTGGTGATGCTGACTCATATGACTCAAATGACTCGTATGATCCGGATCTCTTCAATGACTGACTCAGAAGACCCTGAGTCCGTAAAAGGATCCGGATTTGCCATCTCTAATAGCCATTATATACAGTTTTTAATTAACTATTAGTAGAGAATAACGAGTAATGAATATGCTTTATAGGGATCTGCAGATAAATATTTAGTCTTCTCAAGCACCCACTACCAAATATCTCGACTGATTGTTGGCTGAATTCACTGAATTTTACTCAGGTGTAACTAAAGTCTGATTTAAGGGTTGTTTATATTTCACATCATTAATCCAAATCTGTAACTAAAATAAATGTAGTGGAGTAAAAATACCAGGTTAACCTTAAAGAAAGCCCTCAGGATTATAAAAGACCCCATCACCCCAGCCACAAACTGTTCTGTCTGCTGCCGTCTGGCAGGCGGTACCGCAGCATCCGGACTAAAACCACCAGGCTCAGGGACAGCTTCATCCCACAGGCCATAAGACTATTAAACACCTGAACTTAGAAACAACATCCATAACATTCATCTGGCTGCTACTTAGAAATTATGTATCTAATATATCATATTCCAATCACTTGTATATAGACTCTTATTGCACTATTTAACTTTTTACTATTTCACTATTTTTCTTTTTGTATTCACTTGCACTATTTGTTCTGTGTATCTGTTTTATTTATTGTATTGCACTGTTGGAGGAGCCTGTGACCTAGGGGGGGGGGGGGGGGGGTGGTAGGACACGTTCTAAGCAACTATGGTGTAGTCCCATAGCTGAGGATTCTGGGTAGTGTAGTGTCTTCTGCTATCCACACACTCCGAAAAAATATTTGTTTCTCCGAATCGAAAGGGGAAAATACAAAAGCATTGTACACAATTTAAACCAATCAATGTTGTGTAATTAACAAGGATAATCTGGTGTTTTTGAGTAGTGCAGATATCACTGTAAATAAAATCAATCGACAGTAAGGAGAATACTTACTTCCGGGTGTAAAATCCTCCGTTATCCAATGGGAATGGACGCTCAGCTCTTTGGGTCCGTAATACAATAAAGGGGACTTGATCAAATAGGAATATAATTATCTTTTAAATAACGTTAACTAAAGGGAACAATCTATTTGACACAGCTGAAGCTCTGGCCTTCCTTAAAAACTAACTCATTTAATAAAAATCACAGTTGTATTACACACCATGCACTGTTTTTTGAGAACAAAAATTGGTGAATAATGCACCATAATACATTCTGACGAAAAATAAAAATTATTATGAATACAAATAAAATAAAAGAAGCCTCCCGTGAGTTACTACAAGCTATACTGTAAAGTAGATTTTAAAAACGTTTTATAGAATAAAAGCTGAATGCTGGACGTTGTAGAAATGCGTGTGTGCACCACGACAATGGAGCTTCATTCACTTTACATTGGGGTTGTTTGCGTGGTGCAGACACGTAAATGTAGCAAAGTTCGTGACTCCACCACGCACTGCGGTGTTAAGGAGTCGTGGTGGAGTCACGCATTCTGGTGAGACCAGGTTGATCCAACCCATATGGAAATAAAAGAGCAGTATTTTTTCTGTACTGTACTAGTTTGCCCTAGTAAAGCACATTATCCTAACAACAATTGTAAAATAGTTTTTTAGTCATTTGAATATTTCTTAATCTTACCACTCATACTATTCAACGTTTTTTCGCAAGACTTTTGAAGTATGGGCCTAAAAGTATTATATTTTATCTTCAGTATTAGTCTCGTCCTTTTATGCATTTTTTATTTGAATCTGTCTGGTTTTAATAACCATTCTGTTGTCTTACATTTGATATCTATGTCAAATGTTAGCTTAGTTACAGGGTAGCTTTTGTCTATATGGTACATTTGAGGGCAATTGTAATGCTGTGTTACACGGACCCTGACTTGCTTAATACGATTTTTCTTTTCTTCTAACAATTTAAGTGTTTTGAGTTAAATAACATTTCTACATAAAGTGTATTTTTAATCTATTTATATAGTAGTTTCATAGTCTAATAGAGCCATTTTCTAATGCTTTTCGCTATTTGAAATGGCCATGCATCAAGTTTATTTTATTATTATTTCTAATTATTGTTGAATCAGTAGTTGACTTCACCTTAAAGTCTGCCATATTTGCATAATTTAGACCATGGGAGCCATTTAATCTTGGACAAGGGTCATTTGTAACATCTTATAATTCACCAATTCATAATGACACAGAACTAATAAAAAGTATTCTTATTGGCGCATTTCTCAGTAAATTGCCAACTTACTGCACATTGGGCCTTCAGTCCAGTTTCCTGAGATGCAAAAGATTTCTTTGGTCTCTGCTCCCTCTGCACTATATCCATCTTTACAATTATACTGCAGTTTTGAGCTTGCAGCAAACACCTCCTGGTATCCCTTACCAATGATGACTGCATGGGGGATTTTAGGGGGATCACCACATGATTCGGTACTCCCTGAAAATGAGGTTATTTTGTAAAGTGGATTTAAGATTTAGACACTGATTTGATTCTGGTAACTGACATTTAAAAAAAAAAATAAGACAGACTTACTTTCACAGATTGGCACAGAGGACCATGCTCCGTTTATACACTGCGCTGTGGTGTCATAGTCTTTGTGTTTATATCCTTCGTCACATCTTACCCAGATTTTGTCTCTCTCCCCATACCAACCATTTGTGCTTGCATCATAATTTCCATTTGGGATAGTCAGTGGCACACAGGCTTTTTCATCTGAGTTGGAAAATGAATTAATACAATTTGAAATAAAGTGCAGCACACTACAGCTCCTATGCATTGTCCTTTATTCATTGGACGTTAGGGCCCCCAAAGACTTTTTCAAGATCAACAATGAAGAAGAAAACATTATACCATCTTGACAGTCTTTTCATTTTTAAAATGCCATTATTTGAGTGAACAATATCTCTACGGTTTTATTAAACCAAACATTATTGTACAATGTAGCCGGCACAAAATGAACCAGCATCATTCAGAAATGAAATAAAAAGGAATCTTTGACAACTCTTGAAATCTTATGCTAAAATATGTGTGTGCCGCCGGGTTGTGTTGGTGTTTGTATAATTCATATCTGTTTGTTGGTGACATTGGTGAAGATGGATGGAAACATTTTACAAAAAGCTGACTAATGTACAACAAATGTATCATTAAAAACAAGTAAGTGTCATACAGGTACAAAAGCAGGACATTATCCTTTAAATCCCAATCAGAATGAAATGAAAATAAATCTTTGGGCAGTACTGAAAGGTTTTTCCAAAAGGGATAAAAGAAAAAGAAAGGTATAACACTGTACACTGAGAAACACAACGTAGAGTGGCTCATTTAAACAAACCACCAGAAAGATTATAGAAAACGTACCTATACATTGGGGTTTAGGAGACCAATTGCCATTTTGACACCTGCTGGTCCCCCACCAGCCCTTCACTGCTGGTTTAAGTCCGTCATGACAGGCATAACTGAGTGTGGCTTCATGATTATAAGCTGATTGTCCAGGGGAAAATAAACCGCCATTCAGACTGGGAGCAGGACAAGGCTGAGCTGCACTTTGTGCTGAAATATAACGATAAACAGTCAAATACTTTATATATATCCCTGATATATTCAGGCAAATTCAGAAGTTTCTAAGTAACAGAGTAGAATATGCAGCACTTGTGGATTCCAAACCAGGAGAAAAACTCCAAGATATCTCAGGCGCATTTTGGCAGGAATGAAATAATAATGCCAAATAGGTTTCAGTTAAGATCAGGACCAGTTAATAATTGTTGAGAGCAATCAGCCAAAAAGCAAAGAAGTTAAGAAATAGTAAACATTCAGCTGAGTTACGGTCATCATGCTGTACACACAAACAGCCTCCGTGGACTTCAGTCAGATCAGTCGCATTTTACAAAAGGACTTTGCTTTGTTGAGATAAACAGTGTGTACAGCTGTTTTTGTCATTATCCTGCTTTGGTTCATACATTCATTTTTTTATACCAAATGAATCCTAGTCCTCCAATATTTATGCTAAATATCATTGGAATCATACCCCTTACTTATTTTCTGAAAAATGATTTGAAGTGAGCACTAGTTCTCCGGTGATTTCATGTTCAAGGACACATTTTATGCTGAGAAACATTCTTTATTGAGCTTCTTCTGCCTGCCATATGCTCCCAACATTTCATTTTTATCTACATCTGAAAGTTAGTATTGCAAATTACGATTGTGTTGTCAAAACCAACTTTAAAATTGCATTCCACTACCGACTGTATCTGAGTGTTGCATGCAGCGCTTGTAAGTCAATAAAAGCAATTTGGCTTTGTATTATGGTCCAAGAGTTTATCAACTATAACTTCATTATCCGAATATAACATAATAATATACATTTTCCATCATCGGCCGGAGCATTGTCTTTACAGGATAATCCCATTTTATAAACACTAAAGCTGAACATTGTATCATCTAATGTACAGTATGACTAAATTACCTCCATCTGCTCCTGGTGTGACTGGTTATGATTAAATAATAAGTAAAGTTATGATTCTGTCAATAAACCTTCAAGATGTGCGCTTTTATTTAAGTGTTGGTTAGGCAGCTGAAGGCCCATCAACACAAGAACACATAGTTCAGGTGCTAATTTGCCAGAAACACTGTAAATATTTCTTGGAAAGTTGTGTTTTCTGTTTTGAAAATGTGTTTTGTTGTGACACCACCATACTGTAAGTGAGTATTTCTGTCCAAGTATCAGCATACTTTGAAGTGTTGCTAAAGTATATTAAGTAAGGCATAATGTGCAGTGAGGCGGTCATTAATGATAAAAGAACACAGACAGGGTGATCAAGATCCCTATCACATTATTCCACGTATTACATTGCAACATACTAACTATATAAAGGGCTTGACTCACAATGTTGATTTAAAAATGACCGTATTGCTACAGCTAAAAAAAATATATATTCCGCTCCACTGCGTACCAAAGGCAGGAACTGCGGCGACAGCAAGTCTGTTAACATCTTCTTTTTCATTAACCAGTCTTAAACGCTGCTAGAGTATATCACATTTTATATTATATTGATAATTTGGACTCTTCAATTTCTTATTTGGTAAATATAATTATTATTTTGGGTAAATACCGTTTACATTGTAGTAAATGGAGAGGAGGCAAGCCCTCCTTTCCCTGTTTCATAATTGAGGTCAAGTCCTTTTTTCTGTCCCTTAGAAAAATACAATCTTGTAACATGTCTATAAAGATTTACAATGACATTTCCAAATGGTTATTAAGTAAGCTTAATGCCTCTTAAATGTTTTTGTGACTTTATGCTTTCCCCCCCCCCCCTGGCTCTTATTGGATGTATTATTTATGTTTTTCGTCTTATTGTGAATTAATAGGCGCTTTCACACCGGAGTACTTTTCCCGTACTTTTCCCAGAAATAGTTCCGATAGTTCCTGGGATGTTGAGTTCACACCAAAAATATCTTTTTTTTCGGGAACCTTTTCTCCCCTTTTCAGTCCCTGCTAGAGAGGTGGTACTTTCCTGGGGAGAAAAAGGTTCCCATTTCTGATTGGCTGGGCGAATTGCAAACCACGCCCCGTAAAACTCGGAAAAATGTGTGAAGCCACCATTGTATTTGCTGGCATTAGCATTACTAGCATTAGAATTAGCCCCGCGCACCGACGGAGAGAGACTAACTTATGGCAACACAAAAAAAAACATGGGAGTGGTGGAGTGATGAGGAGGGTTCGGCGTTCTGGCGATTCACTCGGAAAAAAAACACTGCTAGAGCCCATACTGTGTTCCCTTTAGTTTTTGCTTCCTGTCCGTCTTCTTCATCTGTTCTCTTTAGTGTTTACTTCCTGTCTATCTTCTTCTGTTGATTTCTCTGATGTCTTTTAAAATCTTTCCTTCTCATGCGCTCTTTTTATTTTCTTTACTAGAGGCAGTTCAGCCATCATGAATCCAAAGTTTTGTGCTGTACACAAATATAAAAATGATGCATGGTGTACAGTGGCGACTGGTCATTAGGGGCAGGTGGGGCACAGCCCCACCTAGTGTCAGCAGAAAGTATTACAGATAATGATTACAAAAAATGCAAAAAAAATATATATATATATATAAAATATATTTTAAGATCATGTTTAATCATCTGATTCGTCTGTACATTGCTGTTTTAGTCTGTGTTCTTCTAATTAGTGTGTCTACAGTCACAGTGTGTGCCTATTGAGCTGCTTAGAGCCATGTGGGACAAAACCTGATCATGCCCCTTCCTCTCGCTGTGAAGTGAACGGTGACTGTAAAAACTACACTGCGCATGCTCAGAGTATTTTCCTATTTAATGTGTGTGGCAAAAAAATAATGACCATAGGGGCACTGAGCTGCCATCCCCACCATACGTCATCTCACATCATTCAGAGCTGATTGGCTGTAAGTACGTGTGCCGCGAAAAGTGTGGTGTGTGAAGAGGAGACGAGAGAGCTGCAGTGATGCGTCCTAAAACCAGGAAGTAAGCTGCTTATGGCTTCCCTCGACAAAAAAGCAATGAGGTTTCTCCATAGAATTTTAGAAAATAGCTCGAAATAAGATCTGTGGGAAACGTACCTGTTAGATAAATGCACGTTTTGTTCAGCCGGATAACATCCACATGTCTACCCTACTTTTATAATTTTTTTTATATAGATTTATGATAGACTTTTTAAACTACGAGAAGATAAGGAGGACTTTTACAAAAAAGTTATAGAATTTTTTGTCCAGAAGGAGAGGCAAATGGACTTCATCTTCATCCAATGGTAGTAGTAAAAAGGTTTTCCACTGATTTTTGGGGACTGTATTTCTGATAAAAGGTAAATAACTTCAGTTGAATGGACACTACACATACTTATCATTAAAGTGTATTCTTCACCAACGTAATTCATGGAACATTATGTGGTCAATTTCTCTGAGAAAAAGATAAGTAGATTCCTCATTCCTAGTTTAAGTGTGAATTTTGACGCTAGCAGACTTTATAAAGTTTAGCTAGCTAGCATGACCTAATGCTAAAAGCCAAGGTGGTTTGAAAACTCTAAATAGCCTTTAAAAAGGTCTTAAATATTGACCTAATGGATAATGATATAACGCTTAAAGATGGAGGCTACAGCTGCATGTTCCTAACAAAAAAACAGAAGCCGTTTCCTCCTCACTCCTAGCTAAAGACTGTGTGAATAAAGACAGATTTGATCCAACCTGGTCTCACCAGAATGCGTGACTCCACCACGACTCCTTAACACCGCAGTGCGTGGTGGTGTCACGAACTTTGCTACATGTACATGTCTGCACCACGCAAACAACTCCAATGTAAAGTGAATGAGGCTCCTTTGTCGTGGTGCACACACGCATTTCTACAACGTCCTGCTGTTATGTCAAGTCTTGGACCTTCTCAATATAACTATAATTTAATTACAGTTTCTAGATATTGGAAGAGGCCCATGAGTCTCTTTGCTAATTATCAATGGTCTTTGCAATTAACAGCAGATGTACCCATGTTAAGTAAATTGGCAAAGGTCAGAGGAACTCCAAGAGAGGTCTTCCTCAGATATAATACAGTTAAAGTCTTGTTAGTTAGTGGTTCATATCCAGCATGCATTAGCTAAGAAACGATAAGGATGTTGGTGTGTGACATCTGGAACTTACATGTTGCTCTGATGTTGGTGCGTCCAAGTTTAGGAGACCTGACAATGTGTGTGCGTTAAACATGATTAGGGAACATGTTCGTGTGTCATTTAGGAAACGTATATTTGGCCTGTGTTTTCTTGTGTTCGTGGGACCATTTCTGCGATTGGTTGCTGTTGAAGCAAGGTAATGTTTCCCCATTGTTGTTTGGTGGTGCACAACTAAATAATAATGATTAATCTCAACTATTTCTGTGTTTGTGTTTCATTGATTCCTCTCTGTTTCATTCTTTCCTGTTGTGTGAGTGCTGGATCGCCACAACATTTTGGAGGTCCCACCGAGATTGCCGATGCTGGAGGTTGCTGTGTTCCTTCTCTGGGGGTCTCAACTCCCTTGGCCAGGCAGCCCTGAGACGGCTGTGGTAAAATCTCGAGGAATTGAGAAACCAGACTTGAGACTTCCACAGAAGAAATACCGACTCACAGTAAGCAAAACGTATTTGGAATTAAATGACTTTTGAAGTTGTATTGGTTAAAAAGAAAAAGCAGAGGAGAGTGGATTTGGGATTTAAGGCATAGTTATGGTTGAGATCTGTTGATTGTCGTTTGTTTGTTGTTTGTTCTGGCTGTTGATTGTTTGTTTTGTTTGTTTGTTTGTTTTATGTTGATACTGGAGAGATCACTGTATTCTGCTCGTAGTCTGCCTGAGAAGCTAAAGGTTTGACTGAGGGAATATGATCTTTGCTAGCCGTAAGGACATGTTATGCTGGAGGAATCACTGTATTTGCTCGTAGTCTTGAATTCTGCCTGAGAAGATCCTGATGATTTGTCTTAAGGTCCAGAGATTTATTGGCTGAGGAATACAAATTTGCTTTGCGAGCCAAGTGCACAAAAACAGGGTGGAGGGTCATGCCTGTTCCGGTCCGTTCGG